ATATATCATACTAGACAATATTTCACAAACTGATCGCATATTCAATTTCTAACCTTGTTCTTTATGTAACTCAAAGTTGAAAGACTCTTTTAACTCTGACCGTGTAACTATAAAACCAATTGAAATTAAGGATAGCCCATAATTAGTTTAGTTGTTAGGTTTTGAAAATAGTTGGGGATAAAGAATAATTTTTTTACTATTTCATAGTGTTTGAATAGAACAAGAAATGAGTTGCAACCTAGAGAATATGTTTAATAATAGTAGTGTCCTAGGTTCGAATAACACATACTACCATTTTTATTTTTTTAATTTTACACAAACTACTATCGAGAGTAGTATGATCATTTTGTTCAAATTTAAGGGTGTTCCGGATTACCAATTATAATTTTTTTTCGATACGAAACTACAACCGGGGGTTGGATAATCGTTCTTCCAAATTTTAGGGGTGTCCCGGGACACCCCTAAATGTTCATGTATCCGCCACTGGGTGTGTATGGTGGCTCGTGAGAGTTATTAGCATGGGAGTAGCCAGGTGCCTACAAGTAAAACATGATAAGACGCATATGCATAAGTCAAGGTGGTTGAGTCTTTTGCCCATTGGGATATGAGGATGGCTGAGGTCCGATCCTAGTGTTTTGGCTTGATTGCTTGATGAATGGTAGGGGTATGCTTTGTTATGAACTCACGATGCAATGATTGTCTCACTCAACCATGAACTGACCCTCTTTTATCTTTTTCCTCTGCTTATGTCATGTGTAAGCAGATCATCATCATCGTCAGCAGCAGTAGATAGGTGTATAGGTGGGAGCAGAGCAAGAGTTGAAGGCAAGATGAGCTATGGTCTTCAACTTTCTGTGCTTGGACTACTACTAGGGATTTTGGCCAGTGATCCACACCTTTTTTGTAAAAATGTTTTGAGAATGTTTTTCATGTGCATACTAGCTTCTGATGTAGTGTGAGATATCCACGGGTGTGGAAAGTTGATAATATGTGTATATTTGTGTAATTATGTAAGTTGTGACGATTATGTCATGTATCAGTATGGTATGCAGTAGTGTAGTATGAAACTGTGACTATGGCTATGAAAAGTCAATGCATATGGTTGTGAGTATATATGTTTGTCTATGAATGCATGGATTCAGATGAATTATTTTGCAGGATTAGATGCAAGAACTGTTAGCCCATTTACCTTCTCAACTCCTACAAACTAAAGGAATGAAGTTGAAATTTACATCAAGCTCATCGATTACAATATTGCGAACCTCATTAGTGAGTAAATAGATTTAAAGATAAGGAAAGCTAAAGAAGGGTAATTTCACACACAGTTCATGACATGGACAAGGTAAATTGAACATCTTGAAAATGGTGTTTCACAAATGTAAAGGTTGTACCATTAAACTTTTGCTTTCGATAAAATGTGCGAGAAGAGAAAGAGTATGCTAATGGTGGAGGTAGCGGATACGACGATGGATAATGACATTATTGTGAATAAGGAAGAGATTGTTGGTGGTGGATGTATAAATTTTCAAGATGGATGAAGAAAGCGAATTGTTGATCATGTGTAGACTTGGGTGAAGTAAATTCAACTAGCGTGAAAATGATGTTTCACATTTCCAAACATTTTACAACTAGAGTTTGAGATTCAATGAAATGCATTAGATAAGGAAAAGACTATTTCATGGCTAATATAAAGGTTTCATGAGTGAAGATGAAGCCGCATGGATAAAAAATGATTTTTATGGTGAAACAATCACAAAAAATGCCCAAAAGAACTTTTGTAGTAATTTTTGGGAAGATAAAATTTGTAGTAATTTCTGAAAGTAGTAAATTTGAAGTTCACTCTTATTAATCTTTTTAGGAATTGATACCTTGCATGAGCTTTTTTTATACTTTTGTTAAAGACCGTTGTTCATGAATGATTAGAATATAAAAAAAAACTAAAATGTATGTTACCAATTTATACTAATAATAATTGAATAATTTAGATTCTTTCATGGTACATAATAAAAATATAATTTTGTTTGGGCATTTATTATTATCGTTTATACCATATATGTAATTCATCCGGTCAACGGGCGGGTCCCAATCTAGTACTCATTAATAAAGAAATTAATAATTTACGACAATTATATCTTTGTTTCTTTTAAAAGCGCACTTACGAGTAAAAATAATCACGAATCTATGGATAGATTAATGTAGATAAATTTGAGTAATAAAATATCATGTAGATATAATCTACGATTGTCTTAGAAGTCTTAACTAAGTAAGATACTACTAATATTTAATATCCATCTATTCTTGCAATGCTTATGCATCCTTGTATAAGTTTCTGTACAAGTGAAAACAGGAACAGGACTAAAAGAGAGGAGACCAATAATTGCATCCCATGAATTGGTTAACTTATCCAAGTACTAACATGTCATGTCCAAGTCAATAAACAAAAAACTATGGGGTCCTCCTCAATCCCCTCATTACTTCAACAACTGGTATGTCCAACCTTTAAAAGCTATACTACCGTGTAATTATAAAATGGAGATTCAACACGGTTGAAGTGCGATTTACATCCGATTTATTAATTTTGTTTCGTAACTAATTTTGTGAACTCCTATAAAAGTTTATGTAACTAAAAAGAAAAATACTTTCCAAACTACATGATACACTTTTGATCTGGTTTAGTCCAATCCAATGCACATGTTATGATTGATTTCGTCTAACTGCGTTACAAAGTTATAAAAAACATATAAACTTATCAATTAAGATTATCTTCCCCCTGTCCTCCAACGTGATAGGCACTCCAAACATACAAGGAAGAGAACCTCGAGGTTGGATAAGCTCGAACCAACGGGAGAAGGTCTCATCATCACTTTGCATAACAACTCCACTTTGACCCGGGTCAGATCAGGTCCTTAAGGCCTATTCTTTAAGGAGGATCTTAAACCCTTTTCAGCCAATAGAAGAAGGAGAGAGAAAATCATTAGTAATCATTGGCTAACTACCTATAAGGGTAAAACTGAAATATAATAAAAATAAATGCAATTAGTATTAAAAAAGAAAAACAATAAAAATCCTAATTATCATTTAAAAAAAACCCTCCTCCTCCCAACCCTAAAACCGTTTCCATCGTCCCTTCGTCTCCGAACTCGCCATCGTCTTCCCGTCGAAGACTACAATAGCTTTGCTGAGTTGCCGTCGTCATCCCACCATCTCGCCGCCTTTCCGCCGTAAGTAACCTCGCTGCCACTCGCCATATTCCCTTCCTCTCCAAACTCATCGACGTCCCGCCATTTCCCGCTTCGTCGGCATCGCCATCCCGACATATCTGATCTGCCGCCGGCATGGAAACTATTAATAATAGTGCAATAAACATCAACAATTGTCAGAGTTATATTAGTACATGTTACTTCAAACACTAGGTTACTGGAAGTACACGTCGAAAACTATTGCTAACGGCCTTCAAAATATAAACAATGGGCAACAAAATGTTGATAATGACCACACCCAGATTAATAGTTAACGTTAATGATAATAATAAGAATCAAGTGAGACACGGTTTAAAAAAATTGATCATGGCGCCGGGTTAATAATACTAAAGGAAAAATAATAATTAATAATGGAAAAAGAATAGTTAATAATGGAAAAAGAATTGTTAATGGTGAAAACAAATTAATAATAAGACAACTATACGCTATGGAGATGCATATTATTATTAATAATAAAGAAAAAAAATCGTTAATAATGCTCACAAGACAATAATAGTATACGTTAATTTAACCATAATGTTAGTAAGAGACCACTTCAAAAACTATTGCTAACCGTCTTAAAAATATTAATAATGGGCAACGAAATGTTGATAATGACTACATACTAATTAATAGTTAATCTTAATGATACTAATGAGAATCAAGGGAGCCACGGTTTAATTTTTTTTATAATGGCGTCACGGTTATTAATACGAAAGAAAAAATACACGTTAATAATTTTAAATGAATCGTTACTAGTGGAATGTAATTAATAATAAGATAATTATGTCATGGATATGCATATTATTAATTATAAAGGAAAAATAATCGTTAATAATGATGGATATCGGCCAATCAATAATACACGTTAATTTAACCATAATGTTAGCGAGAGCCCACTTAAAAAAATATTGATAGTGCTCAATCAAATTAATAATAATGGCCACCGAAACGTTGATAATAACTACATATTGATTAATAGTACTAGACTACTAGTTAATGATACCCATGACAAATAATAGTGCATGTTTAAAAAGATTGACAATGGCGCTAAAAAAAATAATAATAATAATAATAATAATGATGGTCAATGGAGATTATTAATGAAGAAAATTTGTAAAGCCAAATTGAAACCATATTAACGATGGCCAAGAAATGCTACTAATGGCGTTGAAGACAGTAATAATTAGGAAAGAGAAATACTATGCCGAACGTTTTTAATTTAATTATAATTTCCTAAATACCCCTAACAATTAATTAACTAATAACTCCTCATTAACTACCAAAAATTGAATCAGCCAATCACAACGCTTTAAGATCATCCTTAAAAAAGAGGGTTTAAGGACCTGAACTCAGGCCACTTTGACCGAAACCCTAAATCAAATAACCAACTAATCCTAACAAATAACCAATTAATCAAGTCGCCTATCATACAACAAAATGTCCGAGAAAAACAATATTGCACTTAGCTAGCTGCGCGTGGCATGAACAAAACCGGCACAGTGTCGTTACGATTCAACGGTAAGTTTTACCATCACTAACACCTGAAGCCAACATACCATCATCATCCGTTAATGAGATTGATCCTAAAAACCTCTCAGCTAACCAGAATACCAAGTTTCAAAAACCACCCTCCAATTCCCACAAACTCTCAAATCAAGGCATTAAGAGGTCTCGAAAGCCAGCTTCTGCCAACCTCCAACAACTTATACTACTACCCATATCATTGATGTAGCAATCACATAATACCTACCAACAACACATTACAATCCAGCATTATTGCTCTCACATGGACTGGAAACCTCCCCCAGAAAAATGCAATACTAGTTTTAGCTCATCATGTTAGCTATGAGCTGGATCATGTATAAATATAACCCACCGCATAAGGGAAAAGGAAATCAAACAACCAACCAACTATTATAGAAAGCGACAATCAAATTCGGCCAAAAACAAAGAAATACACAAGAGCTAGACCCTTCTAACAGCCTGTGATTGAGCTACAAATTGTTCCTGTCCTTTCATTTCTTATCCAGAACAACCATTTCCGAAACAAATTAATTAATTAATAATATAATGGAATTAAAAAATAATAATAAGGACGAAAGAAATTAGGAGACAAAAAAAAAACAGAAAAAGAAACAGACACGAAAATATACACGTGTTCCACGACTAGAGAGAAACACGAAGCGGTGTCGTTTTGCAATCTTCTACCCAATTCCTCCTGAAGCAGAGAGAGCAGCAGTACACCACCCTTTCATAGAGAACCAACTTCACCGGACAAAAAACTGAGTTTCGCGCCACAAGAGAGCTTTTTAATTACAGTGGGGCTCTAGTAAATTTTTTTCTTTTTACTTTTCACTTTTTTAACCCAAACGAATATATATATATAAGTTATAAATAGAGAGAGAGGGAAAGAAGGGATGAAAATGAAACATATTTGACTGACTCGAAGAGTGGAGGGAGGAGGGAAGAAGAGGGGATTCTACAGCTGGTGGTGCTAGGTGGCAGGTGGCGGAAGGTGCCACGTGTCACGCCGGCAATGATCGAACCTATCGGCCTGAATGAGATGAGGAGATATCTCTCTCCCTCTCTTTCTAGGCGTTTCCGGCAGAAATCTGGCCTGGAAAGCCACCGCCGAAGTTGTTGCTGTTTTTTGGCCTCCACTCGGTCCTTCCCCTCACAATCTCAGCGCCTTCCTCCAGTCGGAGCAAGTGCCGGCACTCGATGCCACCGGCACTCCCCATGGTGCCTATCCCGTTGCCGGAGACGGCTGTGAGGGACTGAAGGACGCTGTCCTTCCCGCACTCCCTCCGGTACTCCAGAGTCATGGACGAGAGCTCGTGGCTCTCCAGAATTGCCAGTGGAGCACTCTGCAAAAGAACACGACCAAACCAGGCGGCGATTTTAGATTAAGTTAACCCAGAATCGATAAGAGAGGTTGAGATGAAAGCAAACCTCAAGTATCCAATTGATGTACTTCACATTGTTGACATGCTGATTGACATCCAGGTCATTCCACCTAGGCTGAAGAAAGAAAAAAAACCCGAGAAAAATTCGTTAGCTACAATGGCTAGACTATTTAGTACCGAGAGGTGGTAATTGGATCAGTTTCTGAAGGGCTCGTACAGTTAATCCTTCGCGGATGTGATCCGCGGAGTCGTCGTCGAGTTTTAGCAGTTTCCTGCTGTCTTCAGGGACAACAGGGTCGGAGTTGAGAAAGTAGGGTTCTATCTCCGATCGAACCTCTTCAGGAATCTTGGACAGTCTCCGTGTCAGTTTATTCATCATCACCCAGACACTGCAAATTTTGGCAAGCAAAAAGCTTTAGATAGGAAGCTGATGGTTCAAACCAGATGAGGAAATTGGGGTTTCTTGCGAAGTATCAGAAAGTTCACCTGGACGCTCTCGTCAGGGTTTCACCAGTTCTACAGTCGCGAATAAGCCAATCACGACGCATGCCGTTTTTACCTGACCCAGTTACCCACGTGTCCACCTGAACCACATCACCCCTGCAAAGACGAACAAATTCAACCCCAATCCCAGACAAAACTTCCACTCAATCAAAAATGGCAGCAGTGGTAAAGAGAGCATCTTTCGGTTTCTAGGATGCAGTGAATGTCTACGAGTTCTAACATTCATTGCCACCGGGACAGCTATTGGGAACAACCATTATTGGTGCTGAGCAAGCTAGTCAGGGCTGTGAGCTGTCAACTTCTATCCATCTTCACGAGTACAAGCAATAAAGGATCAAGCAAAAAGCACCCATCCGGGAGAGGAAACAGTTAACAAACGGAGAGAAGAAAGTGCTCCAATTAGGAAAGAAAAGACAAAACAAGGAAACCCTCAACCTACAAGTGCCGGTTTGAACTCAGGTATGAGGAATCAAAGGGTCCCAGAGTTTTGAAATGGAACAACAAATGGTCTATGGTCATTGACAAAGTAAGACGACCAGAACACGAGAACCAACAGTGAGGTTATTTACTAGCTATTGACGTTATAAAGTAACTATCTGCAAAAGCATAATTATCCAGATCATACTCAACGTAAAAGGTTCAGCGAGCTGATGGGGCATGATGAATGAAATGAAAGCATATAATTTTCAAAACTAACAGTAAGCAAAGTTCAAAGAGCCAAACAAGGTTGATTAAGAAAATTGCTTAGCTTACCATGTAGGATAGCGATCTACCAGAACTTGCATCCGGGTGACAACCCATATTAGGTTCCGTTTACTCATCTCGGGGGTAGAACCAAATCCATCACCAAGTAAACCAGCAGTTTTTACATGGTTGAGAGCTGTTTCCTGCAAAATAAAGAACCAAAATCAATCATACACCAACCTAACAACCTTTCTCCGTAAGATCAAACATTTCAGGTACTTCCACATACCTGTAAATGATTCATTAGCGTTTCTATAGAGGCCGAACGATCTGCCCCAATCTCATAGGACCTAATAGAGAAATTCTGCCTGAACACGAACCCGTCCTGAACAATTCTGCCTAGACCAAACGGGTCGATGAGCATATCAGGCCGCTTGGTCTTCCAATCAAGCATCGTCCATTGCTTCTCAGCAGCCAAAAAGATGGTTGTGATAGCAGCAAGGAGCACACTCCAATCAGGCAACGTGTTGATAAAAGTCCTTGGTGGTGGTTGTGAAGGACCCTCAACCTCGTGCTTCACCACTTCAGCAGGTGTTGCATAACCTACTGAGGTTCCATTGATCTTGGGAGGAGCATGGGCATTTGCCTTCACTTGCAATGCCCCGGAACTAGCAGATTTTGATTTAATCCCAGCCAAACTGGCTGACCCACGCCCGAGCTTGTCGGACTTGGCATCCCCAGATGGAGAAGGAACCGGAAACAAAGAAGAAGCAGCAGCTGCAGCAGAAGCAACCATGGCGATATCCCAGGATCAGAACCAATCAGCAGTTGCTCGACACCGAGCTCAATCCCAATTCAGAGAAGCAAGCAAACCACTCCTAACAGCAACAAGTTTCTGCAAAACGTGAGGGTGAGGAGTTTAGAATCTCCAGTGGTTTATGAATTCTGACATCTATATCTATTGAAGAAATGAGCTGGGCAAAAGAACAGAGCTAGTTTGGTTACTTCTAGCTGAAGCCAAGCCGCCTCCAAAAAACAGGCAACCATAAATCATGACAGGTTTTACTCTAGGAGAATTGACCGAAACGTTTTTCTTCCACCTTCTATGCTTTCCGGTTGCCCGGAATCAGAGCAACAAATTTCATCTTCCATCAGAAGATTCGCCAAAAACAGCTAGAGACGAGAAAAAATTCTAAATGAAGGAGGCAAATACGAGGATAACCCATCCGGCCAATACAGCACCGCCGCCCGGCCATTTCCAATTGAATAATCCAGGCGGCGGAGAAGCACAGCTCAGATCTATCACTCCGCACCGCATTTGCCATCCGGAGGAAAGACGACGACCGAAACCAAAAAAAAAAAAGTAATAAATACTCTGGAAAAAAGTCAGCAAAGAGAACAGAACAGCCAAAAAACGAGACATGCGAGGAGGTTCACGGCAATTAATCACAACCAGAACGTGAGAGGCGGCGACTGGATGCATGACAGCATGAGCTGCGCGTTTGGTACCGAGAAACCGGAGGAAAGAAATAGGAGCGAGAAATCGAATTCTTCAAATCTCAGATCTCCGACGCGGCAAACCGGAGCTAGACGGAATGAAAAAAAAAACCAAACGATTCACCGTACAGCGAAAGCATTCGGAAAGCCTCGCAATCGCCTCTCATTCTCCTCGAACGAACTTTCTCGCCATCCAAACAAGAAACCAGCTAAGAGATCAAACGACGCGGAGAACGAGAGAATGCGAGAAAACCAATGGAGAGAGACCGTACCTGAGAGAGCCGAGGCCAGGAAAAGGCACGCAGACAGAGAGAGGGAACAGCGAGTGAGCGATGCGGTGGCAGAGAGGCAGCTCAACCAACGAGAGAAAGAAGAAAGGAAGTTTGAAAATGGCGAAAAGATGAAAATGAGGACTAATGCGTCTTTTGCTTTCCTCGAGACACAGAGCTTCTTCTGTTGGTCTAGGGTCCGCGAATCGCGACTCTGTTCTTCCTTTTTCTCGCCTCCTTGCCGTCGCGTGGGCTGGCAGCCTGGCCTGGCTTCCTCTCCCCGCCTTTTGTTTTTTTTTTTTTAGGATAAAAATTGAAAAAATGGAGGAACGTAAGAGGATTGGAGTGTGTTGGTGGTGGGAAGGGGGAGAATAAAATTTTTGGTAGTGACGAACGAGGGGAGTTGAGGGAAGAGGTGGAGGGTTCTTTATAGTATCTCTCTCTCTCTAACTTGGCTAGGCCCGACCTGCCCGCTTTTGGGTTCAAAGCTCCATGGGCCGGAAGGTCTGCATTTCTATCTGGACAGGTAGGTAACTCTCTTTTTTATGTTGGCAAAGAAAAAAATTTAAACTCTATTTTTATGTTAATTTTCAATTGTCACTTGAATTTAATTCCATTATTATCACACACACAAAATTCCATTAAAATTTATAATAATTATAAAAAATTATAATTTAGTTTTTATTAGTTATACCTAAGGAGTAAGGATTGTTATGTAGTTAAGGGTGGAAATCGAAATGGTATCGGTATCTCAATGCCAAATTCGAAATCCCAAATACCAAATTGTGCTCTAAGTTCAATTCCAATCTCTGAATAAATTCGATATCCCTTATCAATCCCTAATATTTTGTTTAGTAAAGACTATATACCAAATATCAAATTAATTTTCTTCAAAAATACCAATCGAATATATAAAATCAAATAATGATCATCTGCTAGCAGGTCCACAAACCACGTCTGAAACTATATAAAAACAAACAATGGGGCAAACACTCATACAAACCAATTGGGAAAAAATATCAAATATAATAACAACAAACTAGTAAAATGTGGTGCCTAATTAGCACATTAACAAACTGAAACATGGGACTACTAAGCAACCCATAAACATACTACAAGTGACGAAATTAGTTTGGTCTGGGTTGTCAAATAGTGAGAGAATGAGCTATGCATAATTAGGTGGTGATTTTGGCGTTTGAGGGTCTCTTAGAAGTGAATGAGAAAGTCTAGTTAGAACGGATAAAATAACTACTACTTACTAGCTTATATTTCTGTATATATCGATCACAATCTTGTAATCTCTATTACTAAATAACACTTGAAATTCAATCTCAAACCCATAAAATAATACGCATATTTGATAATACCCAATATAGATAAATTTGATGCGATAGATCCCAAATACTAGTACCAAACTTCTAGCTCCGATTGGTGTAAAGGAATTTTAGGCTATTGGTAGCATTTGTGGTGCAATATTCCCACCAACGGATATAAATACAAAATATAGTAGGTTTGTGCAAATTTCAATCCAATAAGATAGCTTTCATTCGAAATGATAAGAAATTCAGGACAAAAATCAACATGCAGAAACAAAATATAGTAGGTTTGTGTAAATTTCAATCCAATAAATTAGCTTTCATTCGAAATGGTAAAAAAATTAGGACGAAAATCAACTTGCAGAAATACGATTCGACATAAGAAAGAAAAAAAAAACAACAAAAGCTAGAAGGAGAAGTTGCACTTTTCCTTCTCTTTCCGGTGCCCTCCATGTTGTCTTCCTCCTGATCCCACCTAATTTTCCTAACATTATCTGTCACATACTTAATCAGCGGCTTTTTAGTTTGAAATGAAAGATGAAAATTATGGGGTTATAGAAAACTGTTGTTGCTGTTGTGCCAACATAATGTTGAACTGATCACCAACAACTGGATTAGATTGTAACAATGTCCCATAGGCCATATCCAACTCAAATATCTATATATTTTAAGGGTTCTAATCATCAACGGATAAAAGGGCATTAATAAATATTGACTTTACAGTTTTATCGTACGTTCGATCTACGAATAAGAGGTAGCAATGTGTTGTGCTCGCTTTAAGAAAATATTGACTTTGCTTTTTTGCGCATGAGAAAAACTATGTAATAAAGAGCATGATTACAATAGATGTTATTATTTTATAGGGTAAATACAATTTAATATCCAAACCTTTCATTTTAAACAATATAATAGCCAAACTATTTCGAAAACAATTTAATATCCAAATCGTCAACTTTCCATCCGTTTGACCGTTAGTTGACACTTCAAAAAAGCTTTGTTTAGGGGAAATTGTCACAATACAACTTTGTTTTCTTGTTTTGGCATTGCAGATGACTGAATATTTAGATATTCTATATCATCATGGTGGAGTCATGGACTTCTCGTGTTTGGAACCACGATATGTTGGTGGTTTTTCAGAGAAGATATCGATGGATATTGATGAAGTGTCGTACTTCGAACTTTTTTGAAGTGTCAACTAACGGTCAAACGGACGGAAAATTAACGATTTGGATATTAGATTGTTTTCGAAAAGATTTGGCTATTATATTGTTTAAAATGAAAGGTTTGGATATTAAATGGTAGGGTGTGCCTACGGTGACATGCATGTCACGGTGACTTGCACTTTCCGGTCGACCTCAATTAGGATTAGGTCGACCTCATTTAGAATTCGGTCGACCTCATATAGGATATGGTCGACCTCATTTAGGATTCGGTCGACCTCATATAGGATCAGGTCGACCTAATATGTTGTTTCGGTGTAAAAACAGTTCATGGTGCCTACTTTGGATATTCCTATCATACAATTGGCTAGATGGAAAATGAAGACTAATGACTTGTTTTGAAGCTGGAGTGTCCATCTACATATTGAAGTGATTGAGAGCTCGATAGGAAGTTCAGAAGACCATTTTTGAACCTCATCAAAAGGCTATGCCAAAACTGGGAAACTGCCTGGAAATGGCTAAGTCTGGAAACGTGTTTGTGAAGCCTATTTTGGAGCTCAATTCGAGAAGCATGAATGCGAGTCGAGTCCAGGAGCCTCTACCACGTTAAATTAGGTATGTTTTTATACAAATTCAAGGCATTGGATGAAATATTGGATATCTGTAAGGCTTCAAACAAAAGGGTCGAAGTTGCTACGAAGGCTGTTTTTCTGGCAGACTTCGAGCACAAGCAAGCTGCCAGAAAAACAGCCTTCGTAGCAACTTCGAGCCTTTTGTTTGAAGCCTTAAAGATATTCAATCTTTCATCCAATGTCTTGCCTTTGTATAAAAAAATACGTAATTTAACGTGGTAGAGGCCCCTGGACTTGACTCGCATCCATGCTTCTCAAATTGAGCTCCAAAGTAGGCTTGACAAACACGTTGCCAAACTTAGCCATTTTCAGGAAGTTTCCCATTTTTGGCATAGCCTTTTGGTCAGGTTCAAAAAAGGTCTTCTGGATTTTCTATTAAGCTCCCAAGTACTTTAATGTGTAGAGGGACACTTCAGCTTCAAAACAAGCCTTTAATGTCCAATTTCCATCTAGCCAATTGTAAGATATGAATCTCCAAAGTAGACACCATGAAACTGTTTTTACACTGAAACAACAGATTAGGTCGACCTAATACTATATGAGGTCGACCGAAAAGTGCATGTCACCGTGACATGCATGTCACCGTAGCAAAGTCCTAAATGGTATTTACTCTATTTTATATTTAATCCCGATGCATCTTATAATTAATGCGACACACAAATCCGCATTGAGGTTACCCGTTACAACTCACAAGTTAATATTTAGGACAGACTTCGCTGTCCATAATTCCTTTTGGGACAGACTAATCCCTAATTCAAACTTTGCTTTTGCTTCCATAATCTGGTATGTAATTAATAATTTAGGTGGCCAATTAAGTTAAAGGCTTAGCCTACGTTTTGGAGTTGTGGTATTGCTACTTATCCGTGCTTGTTGAATGTAATCTGTTGTGATCTGAGTGTACTTCATTGTAATTCTACAAATCATAATCATAATTGTTTTTATTAAATTGATATTGGGGTTTAGTATAGAGAATTAGAATCTATAATTCACCCATTAAAAATTAGGATATCGTAAAATATCTGGAATTTGAGTTAATTCATTGTTTACGTACATCACTTCAGCAAAATTGTCGGAATACCACATACACTAAGAATTAGAGGTGTCAATTTTAATATAATTCACCAACTAAAATATCTAACTGATAAAAATCCAATCAATTGGATTGTAGGATTCCTGTATTGCTGAAAATTATAGTTTAGTACATGTGTTTTTTATATTTTACAATTTGATACCTAATTTTTAAATTTTATGTGTAAAAATCTTCAACAACTACATTTTGATACCTATTTTATATCATTTTTAGTACCTAAAATTTTCAAATAATCCAGTATTTAAACATCATTTAAATCTATTCCATCAATCCACTTAATGAATCCACCAATCCAAACACAATACCATGAACCCAGCTAGAGAGTGCTTGCTTGACCTAGCTAATTAATTAATGCGGAGTCAGAAACAGTTAATTATTTAATTACGTGCTCTCGATCATTAGTCAAATTATAATTTGGATGCTAAAGTTTGACCCAAAAGCTCCATCTATGCGGTCCAGAAAAAAACAAGTGGAAAGTGGTTGAACAATCTTCGGTTTACTGATCTAAAAAGAAAAGAGAAACCCAACACGAAAATGGTTGCTTCCTCTCGATCAGTTTTATTGCTCTTTATGATCTCTCTGTTGCCCAAGTTCAACCCTAGCTAGCAAGTTATGTCATCCATACATACTTACACATAATTGCACATTTGCATTTGAAGCTTGGAGATTAACCAACTAGTAGCTATTTGTGGATGTTATTGTTAGAGGATTTCTTTTTGGTTACTGAATTGTACATAAATAACAACGAATTTTCGTTAAGGATTGATGTACTTATTAAAGTAGCTAAGAGACGGTTTAGTCTACGGGCACCATGCTATAGCATACTCTAGTGGTTTATGTTTGATTCGTGTGTAAAATAATTCATACCGTTTGTGGATTGCTCGAGTCAAATGTAGATTAGACTAAGTTTGATTGGAAATTAGGCAAATGAAATAAATGTTGATGTCGAAAAAGTATAAATAAGTTGGTATAATACCATAAATAAGACCAAGGTTCAAGAAGGCGGTAAAAAAGTCTTGTATAGGTCCTAGGCTGATAATTAGGCGTTCATATCGATTAAAGCCTATGTGGCTATTATGCGTAGCTAGGCACGATTAAATTCACATGAGGTGTGATTAATCGAAGTGGAACGCTCTTAATAGCATTGACAGACCAAGAATTTAAAAAGATTGTAGCTAATCTTCATGAAGCGACTTCTTCAATTTTTCTCCAGTTCTAGTCGGCCGTATCCTCTGTCCTACTCTTTACCATCGTAAATTTAGGAATCATGACAAATTTTACTTGTTGTTGAAGGCTGACTGAGTTGTTAATCATTTGAAATTAAAATAAAGTTAAAAAAAGGTTATATAATTTTTATTTGAACTAAAATCTCTATTTTTGCTTAAAACGCTTCGACGCTGAGCGTCCCAGCTTCGACGCTGAGCAGAGTCCCAATACCTACAATTCCAGTATGTTTTCTTTTTCCCTTTTGCAATCAAACAAATACGTTCCTTCTGGGTTGGTGTGCTTGCCATTTTAGAAGTAAATGTTGGTCTAATTATGAAAATTTGACGTGTGTTCTGAATGTGTGGTCTTGGAAGAGCAAAAACGAAATGGTAAAAACAAAATAAGACTTTTTTTTAGAACAAAACGGGACTTTGATTTGTCGGGATGGGATTAGGTGCTAACCACCGTGATAATTAGCAAAAAACTCTACTAAAAATAATGAAATCACTACGGATTATTATAAAATCAATACAACATCTAAGCTAAATCACTACTTATAATTCAAACTAGTAGTAATTTTTCCATTGGTTAGGACGGTGCTAACTATTGTACAATTAGCACTGTAGCCGTTCCCTGATTTGTCTAATGAGATAGCTGGACGAAACTTCGTATCCGCTGCCCGTGGAGTTGGAACCAAGAACACTATTTCACGAAAACTACAAGTGTTACAATAATGGCCGCACATTTCGCGACAATACTTCCATTAGATTTATTTAAAAAAAATTACTTCTATTAAAAAAACATGCATATACTTGCTTTTTTAGTGACTGTAATCTTTTGAATGTACTCAATCTTCCAATTCAACGTGTTTTTTTTTTTTTTTGCATCTTAGGGTAGTTTAGTTTTGGTTAAATCAATGCATTGTGGTTTAGGGCTGGCATTTCGGTTTGCGGTTAGCGGGTAACCGCCGGTTTTAACCGAAAACCACCGGTTACAAGCTAATCGAAAACCGACCGGTCACTTTGACGGTCGGTGGTCAGATGGGAAAAGATAGGGGTCGGTTGACCGAGTAACCGACGGTAATTAACCGCGGTTAATCCGACTAACCGGGCCAACCAAGACCCACCTTCACCTTCCCCAAAATATGTCTAGATTCATCCCATTCCCAAATCTTAAATAAAAAAAAAATCTCAAATACAGGAAGAAGAAGAAGCAGATCGGCATAGATGTCCTCCTCATCCTCCCCCGCCGATTTCGAGGTCAGCGTGAAGGAGATCTCTATCCCAGCTATCACTTTGAGCAGCCCCTGGATCACAGCAGCGAGATGTGCGCTGGTCTCGCCGATGACCCAAAACTGCTCGTTCCTCCACAACTCCTCCAGCATGCAGCCTCATCCGTCGCCGCCGCCGCCGCCGCACCGGCCTCATCTTCTAGGTAAGACGAGGGAGAGTGAGAAAGAGCAGAGAGAGAGAGAGAAAGCAGAGAGAGGGAGAGAGAGAGAGAGAGGGGTTAGGAGATAATCGAGTGAGGGAGGGAGGCGATTTTCCACATATGTGAGGGAGGGAGGTGATTTTCCTTTCTCTGGATTTTTTGAAAGGAAGAAGAATCGAGAAGAAAGGAGAAGAAAGGGTCTGGATTTCTCTTGAAAGGAAGAGCAAGGGTTTCTTTCTCTTGAAAGGAAGAAGAAAGGAGAAGAAAGAAGAATCGAGAAGTGAGTAAGTGGTCCGGATTTTTTGTTTCTTTTAAGTTTTTTTTTTTTTTTAGAAAAGGTATTTTTCGGTTGGCCGGCTAACCGAGCATTAAACCGAAATCGACGGTCGGTTGGCTGGGCTAACCGTGACACTCTCACGGTCGGTGGTCGGCAGCTCTAAGGACTGGTTCGGTTTAATCGATAATCGGGTTTTCGGTTAAACCGAAACCGACCAGTTGACAGCCCTATTGTGGTTAATGCATGCACTGTAATATACATGCAATTAAGGAAAATAATGTAATATACTTTATTAGTTTGGTTTTGGTGATAGTTCTTTTAGTATTCAACATGTTACTTTACTTGTTTGTGAGAAATGTCACTTTTGCCCTTACTTTTATGAGAACATATACATATAACTAGGGGTATACTTGGAACAAACAAGGAAACCAACAATCTCCTCAAAACAATCTCAACAATCTCAAGTTTTAGTAGAGATACTACTATCACTCATTTTGAGTGATAGTTTCCATCACATCAAACAAACAATGCATGTATTGTTTGTGCAGAAAATTCAAAAAAATGATGCATTGTGGACAATACATGCATTGTAACTATCTCAACCAAACTATCACTAAGGGGTCTTTTGGAAGTTGTGATTGTTATAGTTGTGTTTGTTGAATACATGTATTATGCACAATACAATGTTTGGAAGTGCCAAAGTGTTAAATAATGCATGCATTGTTTTAGGTAGGTCCCACCAACAATCACAAAAAATGATGCATTATATAATCTCAACTAAAAGTTGAGATTGTTGTGATTGTTGGTTTTAGATTTGTGTCAACCTTTTCTTTCCATTTATATCCCCAATAGTTTTTGTCTTATTCTAAAAGTTGAGGGTAAATATGACATTTCCCCATAAAAGTAACTTTATGTAAATCAATGCATAAAATAGAATCTCAACAACCAAACAATGTATTGTTAAAATGTATCCATTGTATCAATACATACATTTATATCATGGTGATTCATTACAATGCAACAATTTAACATTCGCAACTTCCAAACGACCCCTAAAAGTCTAAAACCAAACCACCCTTTTATTCTTAGTTTAGAGGGCGAGTGTGGTTCTCCTTTTTCCTAAGTTAGAATGTCGATTACTTGGTTAGATTGATTTGGATTGACAGTTGAGGTCATGGATATTTATGATCCACAAACCAGTGAGTATAAAATGGGATCTGGATTGAGAGAAATGATAGAATCTTTAGAGTACGTGAGAAATTACAAATTGGATAGTGATTGAGTTAAGGTTTAGAATCAATCACTTTTCGTTTGGTATTGCCTTGAAACGTGAATTAGATATATAGATTGGCTTATCACTTCAGGGAAAAGGTGTTCTTCTTAGGTGGATGTAAGTTTCTCGCATGGCCTTCTTGGCTACTATCTTTGTCAAACTTTGGGGATGGATCACAATTTGTGATCTATTGTTCTTTTAATTTATGCATGTATCATTCATAAATAAATAAAATAGTTTAACCACCTCATCACGCTTGAGGCACTTTTGGGAGATCGAACTTACTCTTAAATGATATACTAGCATGAATAAAGGCAACGGTGAACTTTGCTACTAATTAATTATCGGTGAATCGTCATTGAAGGTTATGTTGTTGCTCATATGAGCCTCGTAACACTTCAGAGCATAAGTTCAATTTTACCAACGTCAGCCTCGTCATCAACATGAAAACCTTTTATAAAAAAGGTAATGTCTATTTTTTATCCAAATCATTTTCATATTCTTTTATATTATCCAAATCTATCGAAATACTAAAAATTAGCCAAATGTTGACTTTCAATTATCAATTTTGTTAGTAAAATTGACTTGGCAACATGATACTGACTTGAAAGAGACACATGAAGATCAACATTCTTAAATTTTAGTATTTTAACTAAGAAAAAAGTTACAAAATTATTAATGTTAACGTAAAAAAGGCTAATATTTTGATGCATTACGAAAGATTTGTTTAATTAATAACATTTAATAGGTTTGGATAATATAAAAAAATCTAAAAAAAATATTTGGATAAAAAATAATCATTACCAAAAAAAACATATGAAAACATTGATGAATTTTAGAAGAAGAGACCACATGGCACCAGTACTCATTGAGAATGGTGTTTGAGAGAGCTACAAATGTCTGTGGTGGTGTTAGTTCGTGCCACCTTTCGTTTTATATTTGATTTTGATGTGGTTTGTTTAGCTAAATTTATAAAATGTGACGAGAAAATCTCAACAATCTCCTCGAGTGGAGTTTTAGCCACTAATTATTCATGCACCGGTAGCAACGGGTTAGAGTTTGGAGTTGGACCCAACCGGTCAATTTCCGACGGGAGAATTCCCCTCATCGTTGATTGGAATGTGTGAGACTCGCAAGTCGCAACGGAACTCTGGTCCTGGTGGGTGTTTCTAGACGCTTCCGTTTTTCCCCCTTGGCCCGTTACGTGATGATTGGACGGACACGTGGAAACCAGCCACTGTGGCAGAACAGAAACAGATTGAAAGGATCCGTTATTTAACTGTTACACGAGAAATCTTTTTCATGGGCCCGTATTCCGAAATCCAGGCCCGTAACTTTTTCTGGGCTTTTTTACAACATGTAAAATGGGAAATCCAACCTTGAAAGATGCAATTGGGAATCTTATATTATTGGCATGTGCCATAGAACTTCCTCCTTCCAGTCTTATCTGATCGAGTGATTAAGAATATTTTGTGCTAGATTGCTCATTTGCAAAGAATCTCAGGGAAAAAATATATATATAGAGAGAAACAAACTAGGACAATAATGACTTGTTTAAAGAAGGTTAACCAAAAATGGTCCGATGTTTTGTCGGAACGAAATAACCCAATAGGCAATAGATGATAAATCTGTGTAATTTAATTTTAAACTCATTTTTATTCTCTTTGCCTCGCATCAATGTTAGTTATTCCACGAGAAACTTATTAAAAATATTAAACATATCTACTAGTTGATCCGTAGATCTGAGCAAAACTTCAGTATTAAAGACTGATGCTGAAGCACATTATTGTAAATTTCTCCAATTATCGCCGTTACAGTGAGGATATGCAAGGTGATATTAATTTGGTTTTCTTATCGTTTTTAGTTATGATCCGCTAGTTGATCCGGTCGTCTATCGAATTAACCAAATTTCTCCATCAATCCATCTATCCATCGCGTTACAATAATGCCGAAATGAAAAGATACTGTTTGCTAGTCAAAATCCCAGTTAGGTTATCGTTGCTGCCTTAAAATCAAGCATCTGTCACCCATTGCAAAGAAAGAAAAGTCCATCTCACAACTTTTATAGCCACGAAAATTACATAAAAGATAAGCAAATTGAGAAGAGTTGCTTCTATTATTATTATTGTTACTATTATTATTATTATTATTACCTACCGATTGGGTTGGCGGTTGGTAGGTTAGAGTTTGTTGATCTGCATATATGCTGACTGTCGAGCTACTTCGCCTGTTCCATTGCATCATCATCAACAACAGTCGATTATATATAGTTAGTTATTTCCACATATCCCCCTTTTGACGAATTTAAGGTTAGTAGCTAATCGTGTAAGGGAGTTAGTAGTCTGCATGTTGATGATTATATTAAGTGTCGTTTTCAGTTCTAGTGTACAGACTTCCTTGCTTCCATAGGACGCGGTGATGTCGATGGTAGAAAGGAAAACTTTTTTTTTAGGTGACCTAGTTATATGGCAATGTCAAATGTTGAGTTTTATCCGCTATGATCGATTGAGCTGGACATGATCAGATATCCGTAGGTTCAGGGACGGAGCCAGAATTTTTTGGTAGGAGGGGCCAAAATTTTTTTTTTTTGCGACATAATCATCATATATATCTTGTTCGATGTATTTTTATCACAGAACATATTATTTATTGGTGTTGTAACTGAAACTTAGGTTATGTTATAATGGTAGGAAAGGTTAACATATGGTAAAATTTCACTTTAAAATTGCATGAAATTGATTTTATAAAAGATGAAATAAAATTAAAAAGAATTAAAAATATTAAAATCGCATGAAAAAAAGAAGAAGATAAATTTCACTGAAAACTTACATGAAATTGACTTTATAGTGTGAAATAAAGACAATCCCAAGAGTTAGCCTAATGATAATGCTGGTTGAGAACATCCACCGCAATAAAGTTAGCCTAATGATAATGCGGGATGGGAACATCCACCACATAAAAATTTCGTATTTTGGGTCAACAACCGACAAGAAAAAAGTAAAATGATAGGAATCGAACCTCAATCTCATCCTAAATAAGCAAAATAGAGCAATCCTCCATCCACTATGCTACAAAATTGTTATCGCTACTAATTACCCATACTTGGTTTTATCCAACTCCAGAATTTAGGGGGGCCATGGCCCCTCCTAGTCCTAAGCTGCCTCCGTCCCTGTGTAGGTTTAAATCCAATTATCATCACTAACGGTGAACATTTTAAATGTTGTTGGCGTCGAGCGCGAGATGCCTGCTCCTTTTCTACTTCGATCAAAACCCGCAAACTAGGGGTGTTCAAACGGTGTGGTAACCATGGTAACCATTTTAACCAGTACTATTTGGATAATTTGGTTTGGTTAATTTGGATAATTGGTTTGGTTTGGTTAAAGTTCTTAGCTTGTTTGGTTTAGGTGGTTTGGTTTTAGACACTCCTAACCAGCCAAACCAAATTAACCAGATAAATAATTAGCCATATATCTAATATATACACATACTTAATTCTTTGAATAATCACTCAAGAGTTAAACATTCATCCCTTTTAGACTCATAAAATATAAAGCTTGATATTGTTCCTATAATGTATATTTGTACATGTCGAGTGTAGACCACAACATATGAACGCCTAGTTTAGATAAATTTCATACATTATGTTGGATGAAAACTTGAAAGTAAGGTCCTTTTCATCCTATGAAAATTGCTAAAAGACTAAGTCAATTCAAACAAATACAACAATTAATTAACCCATACCATTGTGATAAATTTTTGTTAGGTGAATACTTATATACTAACTGTAAGATAATTGTCTTAGTTGCATGTATTTATGTTAAGGGTCAACTATAACTATGTGTTGATTGTTATGTTTTATTCATTATATAAATTACGACTAGTCTTCAATGGGATAGAAAACTGAGGCTATAAATGCAGAACTCAACTCTTCCGACAGTAGCTTGGAATCTCTTAAGCTGACCAAGCCCTCTCAGTCCAACTACCCGGGCAGACGACTAG